CGGCCGCCGGAGGCCCGAGCTGCACAAGGCACAGCACGAAAACAAACATCGGGGGCGGCCAAGAGGGGGGCGTCCAAGAGAAGGGGGGGGGGCGCAGATCATGGCCGGCGGCACGTGCGCGGCCCACGGGGGGGGGGGCCAGGGACGTCATGAAATGAGAGGAGGCGCCATGAGACCCGAAGAAATATCACGGCCCACGCCGTGATATCCGCCCCCCCCGCTGGTCATCACCCCCCTCTTTGCCGCCCCCGAAAGAGAACTACGGAAAGGGTTCGACACATATGCGGCCCCTCTGGTGTGTCCCGGCCGGGCCCCGGGAAGGTACGAGGGTTGAGCAGGGACCGACCGTCCCGGCATTTCTATGGTCCTACCACGAAATGTTCTTAGAACCCAAACAATATTCTTAGCACATAAGCCCGATGTGTTCAAACAAGACAGCCCCAGGCCCGAACTGTTCTGAGAACATCTCGTGGAAACCACAAAAGGTTCTGAGAACATTGCTTGGTAGGGCTGGAGGCGAGCCAGGCCGCTTCGCCCCGGCTCGACTGAGGGCGGCTCGGGGCGGAAAGCCCGTGCGCAGAAGGGGAAGGGGCCCCGGCTGCCGCATGGAGGCCCACGCCGGGAAGAGCCACGGAGCTGGAGCTCGGGTTGTGTCGGGCGTGTCCCCCTACACGGGGATTTTCGACGAAACATAAAAAATACCCAAAAATACCCCAAAAAGATCCAAAAAAATACTCCAAAAAAAATCCCCTGACTATTTTTGGACTATTTCTGGAGTATTTTTTATATTTCGTCGAAAATCCCCCTGTAGGGGGACAGGCCCGACATAGAGCTCGGGGCGCCCTCGCCCCAGAGCTCCAGCGCCGAGGCGTGCCCGCGGCGCAGCTGGCGCTCTGGGCTCCCCTCTGCGCCCCCGGAGGAACCCCCGGCGTCGAGGCGCGCCTCCGCGGCGGGGGCCTCCCAGAAGCCTGGACCCCCTCCCTCCGGGGCCGGCCCCGGACCCCGAGCTGGAGGAGGAGGGGGAGGAGGAGGAGGAGGAGGAGGAGGAGGAGGAGGAGGAGGAGGAGGAGGAGGAGGAGGAGCTGGCGTCCCCGAGGGCCCTCTGGGGACCAGCGCGGGCCTCCCCTTCGCGTCCCTGCCGCAGCGCGAGGCGCGGCACCCGGGCCAGAGCTCGAGCTCCTGGCCGCCGATCGCGACGACCCGGGCACCCTCGGAACGCCCTCGGCGAGGGACGGGAAGACCTCCTAGAGAACCGACGGGAGCGTCCGAACGCGTCCCGACACCATGCAAAGAAACCCAACACCTTCGAGAGAAGACACGAAAGCGCAGCGTCTGGACTCCTCCGCCTCCACCTTTTCCACCCCATCTTGCAAGCGGTGCCTTCGCTCCCATGCCCGCTCTCCGTGCGAACGCGCGTGCGCAGAGACTGCGGCCTCTCTCTCTCGCCCACCTCTTCCCTCAAGCTGCATGAGAAGGGAAATGATCCATCCTACTTGTCCTCCTTCGCCTCCTCCTCCTCTCCTCCTCCTGATGCTGCGCCTCCGCCTCTTCACCCTCCTCCTCCACGCATCCAACTCATCCAGCTCCTCATCCTCCTCCTGCGCCTCCAGCTCATCCAGCCCCTCCTCCTCCGCCTGTTCTTCGCCCATTATTCCTCCTCCTCCTCCTCCTCCCCCTCCAGCTCCTTCCCGCAAGCCCGATAGCGCGATAGCGTTGACGCAGGTGCGCACATGCGAGCCTACAGCGCAGGCGAAGGACAAAGCTTACGCGTGTGAGCGCACGTGGATTGCTTGTTCCATTGCGTGCAGCGTGCGCGCAAGTGCGTTCGTCTTGTAAGTTCGTGGGGCCACGCGTTCACGTGTTCGCGTGCTCGTGTGTCGGTGTGTTCGAATGCTTGCGTGAGTTTGCCCATGCGCGGGCGCGATTGTTTGTTGTGGACGCCGGATCATGCTTGTTCACATTCGCCGCCGTCTGCCCTCAAGGTACAACTATGGCGCTGGACAACTGCTGGTCGGCACCGATATCGGGGCCCAGGCTTGGCGATCCGCAACGCGTGTGAAGCTCGACTGCTCCCGATCGCCATCCTTGCCCTGTCGACTTGTGCTGCACATCCACACTCCCAGAGCTGCACGCTCACGGAGCTCCTCCTCCCGGCGCCCTCCCGGTCTTCCACCCTCGCCTCCCCCGGGGCTGCATACCCACGCTCCCTGCCTCTGCACGCCCTGCTCACGCTGAGGCGTGCGATCACGACGGTGCCCGTGTGCTGGCGTCGGAAGCCTTCCACGCCTGCGTGCTCCTCCGCCCATCCTCCCCGCATCCCGCCCTGGTCCGTTTGCCCTCTCCGGCCTGCAGGCTACTTACAGATGGGGGCCCGACCACAAGAAGCCTTCCAAGAGAAGCCCAACCCTGGGACCCCAGGACGCCCATTGCTCTCTGGCGTTGGGACGCCACGCTGTCCATCGCAAAACCATCGAAACCCAAGAAGCCCAGGGCACCCTGGAGGCAAGCAGGGTGCTTCGTTCGGCGGTGGAAAAACCTCCCTTTAGTAAACCTCCCTTTAGTGAACACGGCCTGGGACCGAAACCGACGGACCTGGACCCGCAAAAATGACGGCCGCGACGCCCTCTCGCGAGCCGAAAACGGCCGATTCCCTGATCGACGTGTCAGGGTAGGAGGTCTGTCCACCCCCGACACATAGGTGGCCCAGGCCTGACCGGGGCATCGGCGACTGTTGGTGTCCGCGCGACTTTGTTAACCACATGTTCTATAGAGCTTCGTCGCCCCATGCACTTCCCGCAGTGTGTCCCCAGAGCTTCCCGGGGATCGGCGATGGTTTTCGTGTCCGTGTGGCTTTTCCTCCTGGAGAAGGGGGTGGCGCGTAGGGGTCGGTTTCTGAGGAAGCGGCGGAGCTTCGCAGAAGGCAGGGGCTTCGACGAAGAACCCTGGAGGCAAGCAGGGTGCTTCGTGGCATGGGCCCCCACACGAGTCCCCCGCTTGCCCCGAATTCGCCCGTGGCTGCAGCACGCACCGCCGCGGCCTCGCCGCCCACGGCAAACACACTGCGTGCCGGCGCCCCGGCGCGCCCCTTTGCGCTCGTGCCGCCTCTCCTCCTCGGCCACCGATGTGCGCCTGCGATGCGCTCTCTGGGCGTGCGTGGCCTCTGCGGCGCAACGCGCCGCGCGGGCGCCCCTTCGTGGCCGGCGCGCTCCGCTGCCACGCGCCCGTCGTTGGAAGCCATCGGGGCGCGGGGGAGGGGCCCTCGAGCACGAATCGGCGGTGCATCGCCGCTGGATCGCCGAGAGGCCCCCGACGGCGAAACGGAACGCTCCTGGGCGGGCGATGGCCATCACGACGCCCACAAGCTTTCGAAAACTTGGAGAAATTGCTGCCGAGGCTGAGCCGATCCCCATCGTGCTACCACAAGGGGCGCCGAATCAGGAACGAAGGGGCTTTTCTGGCCACGGCGAGCCTCGGCTTCGAGCAGGTCCTCCGACCTAGATGCGAGGAACGGCCAGGAAAGACAGAGCCTCTCCTGAGCCCGAAGTGGTCCTTGTGGCTGTGAATCCGACGAGGAGAGGAGGAGGAGGAGGAGGAGGAGGAGGAGGAGGAGGAGGAGCATTTTTTGTTTGAGGAGGAGGAGGAGGAGAAGGAGGAGGAGCCCCTCCTGAGCCCGAAGTGGTCCCCACCTCTGCATCTGGCCTGCCAGCGCCCCCGAGCGCGCTCGCGCGCCCGTGGTGCGCGCGCGCGCTCGGCGCCGGGCTTTTCAGCATCGCCCTCGCCGTGCTCCCCCGCGCAGAGGGGGCCTCCCCCACCGCGGCGACTCGGGCTCGGGGCCTCGGGCGCGGGGCCCTCGCGGCCCCGATCCCCTACCCTTATGTCGGGCGTGTCCCCCTACAGGGGATTTTCGACGAAAAAAAAGAATTACCCCCAAAGTACCCCCAAAAAGGCAAAAAACAAAAACAAAAAAAAATGCAACAAAATAGTCCCCAGACTATGTTTTGAGTATTTTCCCATCGCGCGGACATCCATGTGAGCGTTTTTTCTTTCTTCGGCGTTTCGACATCGGGCGGAAGGGGGGGGGAGGGGGGGGTCTGGCTCCGGACACCTCTGCTTATTGCGGCTGCTTGCCGCAGGGCGTCCATTATGGGGGAGGCTCCACCTGCTCGAAACAGGCGCCGAAAAACAGCCAAGATCTACTCCACAGGGGGGGGGGAAGGGGGGGTGGCGAGGGCCCGCGCCGATCAGCAAAAGAATGAATAAAAAACACTCACCCTTCCCCGTGCATGCTTCGTTCGTTTTCGTGCGTCGCAAGATGACCCAAAACGTAACTCGATGGTCCTCGTCGAGAAGAAGGCACACGTCCGAGCGATGCGGAGTACCCGAACAAGAGGGACGAAACACAGCATGTGGCATAAACATTCGGAGCTCCACGCGGATTTCTCCTATCGGCGCTGGAACCCCCTGCGGCGCCTCTGGCGCCGCCCCTGGCGCGCTCCGCGCGCCGGGAAGGAGTGTCCAGCGCCAATCCAGGAACTCTGCGCGGAACTCCGAAAGTATATGCTTGTTCGATTTTTCTTGTTCGAGCTACACCAGGTCTTTCAATAAAATAAACGTGGGGGGGAGGCGGGATCGCGTGGCGGTGCGTGAGGTGGGGAGGGAGGATCGCTTGACGGCCTGGGATCGGTTGGCGTGGGGGGGCCCAGAACGGGCCGTCGGTCGGGGTGACATGAGGAGAAGTGCTTACGAAACATGCTGGAGCACTGAGGGGGTTTGGACTGGACCAGAAATGTGGGCCCAAATTTGGAGATGATGCGAGACGGGGTGGGGCGTACGTCCTCAATTGGGGTGAGTCCGAATAGCCCCCTCGGGGTGCATCCCTGAGTTTCTCCTGGATTCCAAGCGGCCCGTGAGTCCGTGAGTCCTCGATAGAAGTGAGGGGTGCATCCCCGAGTTGCTTGCGGCCCGACTTCGGGGGGGAACTCGAGGATTGGAGGCGTTCA